CCCCCCACCTGCTCCCATGTGCAGTTCAGGGCCTTTATTGACCAAGGGGAGTACGGAAGCCTGAGAGCTAGTGAGCCCAGGGCAGCGGGGCGGGACCTCATCAGGCCACCTGGCGGAGCTGGAAGGCTGGGGGGACGTTTCCCAAGCCCGTGTACTGTGGTGTGAGGTCGATGTTGGCGGGACTCCCCACGGGGAGCAGTCAGAACCGCTGCAGGATGGCAGTGAGGAAGAGGAAGATCTTGGAGCGGGCCAGGCCTGTGCCCAGGCACGTTCGCTTTCTTGAGGACATAGGGGTACGCGGTGAGCAACCCACATCAATCCAGGGCCAGTCTACCCAGTCCCTTCCCTCCCCTGGCCCAGACTTGCGGCAAATTGCATGAAGGCGTCGTTGCTCCTGAACTCGCCCTTGTTGCCCAGGAAGTTGGCGGGGTTGAAGCGTTTGGGGTCCTTGAATTGGGTGGGGTCGCAGTGCGCTGACACAAGCAGTGGAATTACAAAGGTGTCCTCGGTGATTGTGCAACTAGTGTTAACGAGAAATCGGCGGGAGTGTGCACCCCACGCAGCCAAGGATCCTTTTTAAAAGGCCACGGGAAGGTGGGCCTTCCTTCCTTCAGCTCTTCGGGCTGTGTGTCCATTAACGGCGCTCGCCGGTGGATTCCCATTACTAAGGCCTCGTGTCCCCGCCCCCTGCGCATAATCCCGGGGCTCAGTGGGCACCTTGGGCAGGAAGTGGCCGGGCAAATGGGCGGCGCGGGTGAGAGCGCGCGGCAGCCACAGCAGCAACACGCTGATGAAGCGCTGGCTCTCATGTAGCACGGCGCTGGTGTAGGGTCGGCGCGCGCGGTCCGCCAGCCTCGGGGGGCGCATCCGACCTATCACGGCGTCCAGCTCCGCCTGCACCTTCGCCGGGGCCGGCGGAGGCTGTGAGCCACGCGCGCCTCGTGCCACCCCGAAGTCCCAGCCCTTAATCCTGGGCCTCCCCACCTCGCAGACCTGCCACCTCTGGGAACTTGAGCAGAATGAGGAGCCCATAGCCCAGGGTGGTGCTTGTGGTCTCGGTGCCGCCGAATAAAAGGTTGTGCGTCGTCATCAGCAAAGTCTCCTCGTGAAAATGGCTGTCCACGTCCTTCCGTTACTGCAGTGAGAGGAGACGGGGCGCTGCCGCAGACGCCTGCTGACGGGCGGCAAGGAGAGGGTTTGGGGCAGCAGGATCCCGCACCTTATCCATCTGGTCGAGGAAGCAGTTGATGAAATCGTGGGGTTCCCCAGGCTGCCGCGTCTGCGTGTGCCGCTGGATTTGTTCGGAGATGGAGACCTGCAACTCTGCGAAGTTTCGGAAGATTCGATGGTGCGGGCCCGGGAGCCAGTCCAGGAGAGAGGGGAAAATGTATATCTGAGGATATAGGATCTCAGTAGGACCTTGACAAGGCCAATCGGCCTCAGTTTCCCTATGGAGAGACTGGACCAGGACTTTGATGCTCTAGGTTCTAGGACTCTTCCATTACAAGATTCTAAGACTGTTCTATTCTGATGCTCCAGTGTAGGTAGGTTTATATACTCAGAGTTGGCAGAAGATTGGGCACACAAGGGAGAGATGGGGCCAACACTTCTCACCTCGCGCCATCTGGAACTCGTGATGCGGAAGTTGTCATTGAATAGGTCCAGGAGCCTCAGGAACTCCGCGTCCCCGTAGCCATAGCGGTTCCCGAAGACCACGGAACAGAAGACATTGGACACAGCATTATCCAGTAGCTGCCTGGGGTCGAATGGGACTCCTGGGGATGAGGACAGGATGGGGGTCACAACGCTGTGTCTCCGCCCCCAGCTAGCTCTTGGGCTAATTTGCCTTGTTCCACCCAAACCCCTTCCCGTGGCCCCTTCTAGGCCATCCATTGGCCACACCCACACCAGGCCCCTCAGCTTTCCCGGCAGGGCAGCACCAACAGCGGCTTGAAATTCACCAAGCAGACAAGCCGCCTCTTCCACGATGCGCTCCTCAGTGGTTCGCGTACCCACCCCGAACTCCTTCAGGGCTCCAAGCGCTAAATTGCGCAGCTTCTGCCAGCGCGGCCCATTAGAAAAGAGGATACCTGAAGGGCCCAGACAGGGGGTGGGCCAGCGAGTTGGCCACGCCCCATCCCGGTAGCGCCCAGTCACTAGCCACACCCTTTCCCGGGCCTCCAATTTGTGGACCTGACTTTTTCGCATCTCTTTCCTCTGCTCCTTTACTGACCTCTTGGTTGCCACTCTGGCTTTCTACTCCTTGATCCCTCTTTTGCCTATTGATTGGCTTCGGCCCTATCCACTCATTGGCTCCACCTCTGTTGGTCCCGACCCCTGACCACGGTTGCTCTCTTTGACTCTTAGGCTCTTCTCTCCTACTGGCTGCACGATGATTCGGCCCTCACGCTTTAGCTCCGCCCCACCACTGGCCCCGCCCCCTCCTCGCCATTTGCGCTTGTTAGCACCGATTCTCCATCAGGCCCCGCCCTGTCCGTCCCCGCCATTCATCTGCCTGCAAGCCCGCAGTTACCAGTCGTCTCCGTTCCCGTGCGTTAATCGCTCGAAGACGGTCGTGGCTCCGCGGCCGGAGAAGGTGCCCGCCTGCAGCACTAATGCGTCCCGCAGCGCTGCGTAGCCTCACAGCACCACCGCAGGGCGCGGGCCCGGCCGCACAGGTGAACACAGGGCCCCAGCGGGCCGAGAGCTACGGGGAGCTGGCGCTCAGAGGGGTCCCAGTTTGGGCTCCTGACCCCCCTCCACAGGAACCGAGAGTCCCCACCCCCAGCCTGCACCTCCTTCCTACCCAAGAGGCCAGGCCGCTGATCCTCATTCCTCAAGCCCAGGACTTTGGGCCCCCAGCCCATCCTGCCTCAGACCTAGGGGTCCAGCCATCAGCTCCCTCCTTCTCAGGACCTAGAACTAGGTATCCGGGCCCTCGCTTTCCCTTGAAACAGGAATTCAGATCCCCTGTGTCCTCTTCATCTGGAACCTGCCTTCCCGCTTCAGGTTCCTCCTTCAGGCCCCAGGAATCCGGGCCCCTGACCCGACTCCGCCACGATCCTGGAGCTCAGGCCCCATCCCCTTCTTCCCCGGAGATTTGACTTCCCGCCCCAGCCTCCTCTTTCCTCAGGACCCAGGTGTCCAGACTCGCGGCAGCCCTTCTCCCCAATCCTCTTCTTTTCCACTCAGGAGTAGGGCCTCTCATCCTTTCTCAGGACCCACGAGGTCCAAGCCCCCAGCTCTGTCTTCATTCAGGAAACCAGGAGTTCCAGCCCCGTGCCCCACCTCCACGAATCCAGAATTCATTTCTCCCTCCCACTGTCGGCTACCTCCATCAGTGCCCGGTCCAGGCGTCCGGATTGCAGCTGCAGCAAGTCCCCCAGCAGAAGGAGCGGCTCGGCCCGGGGTGGGGAGCGGAGGGGGGAGCGGGGAGGGGGCAGGGCACTCTGTGCCCAAGTGCCCAGCGCACTCCAGCCGCGCCGCGCTAGCGCCAGCACCAGGAGCAGCAACAGCAGCGCTATCAGGCCAGTTCCCATCGTGCCTGCGATCCTTGATGCCTGTGCCCCTTCACCTCCGTTTGATTCCCATGGGGTCTTGGGTGGAGTAGGGGCGGGTACCAGTGTGGGAGGGGTGGGCGTCTGTAGGCGTTCATTCCATTGATTCCCTCACCCCGGGTCTCCACCCCAACCCCAGCCCTAGCAATTCTGTGCCTGGCTCCCCTGGCTTTTTTGTGCCTGCCTGGGCCTGCACTATTGGGTAACTTCCATGCACCAGCATTTTCGTGTTAATACACCTGGCGAACAGGTGCACCTTCCTGAGCCTCTAGCACCTTTGGGGCCATTTTGTGCTCCCCTGAATGCACTGGCCACCTCTAGGCCTGTGACCTCTGAATGCTGTTTCCTGTACCTTGGACCCCTAAATACATTCCTGACTCCTAAATACACTCCTAAAAGCACCTCCTGATGTGGTACCCCTCAGCCCGGCACTTCTGTGCTCTGTGCCTGTGTTTCCTAGGGATTCACACCTGAGTCCTTGTCACTTGTATGCCCATGACCGTTGGAACCCTGTATGCTGTACCTGTCTGCAGATGCTCACTTGAGTCCCCCTAGCCTCCTGATGCCCATCAGCCTGGCACTTCCTTGCCTGTCCTGTGACCCCTGGGTGACTTCCCACACGTTAATCCCCTCTGAGTCCCCATACTTATGCCCTGCCCTGAACTGCTGACAGCTGTATTCCCAAGTCTTCACCACCCAGATGCCCCCTAATGTCCTGTGCCCATGCTGCTGTACGCCCTGGTCGTCAGGCCTCCCAAACTCCTCAGAGGGCACTCCCATCTGAGGTCAGGCCATAATGGCAGACAAACTCACCCATCACTTCTCCGGGCCTGCAGGCACTGGTGGAGGGGGCAGACCCAGACCAGAATGGGCCAGGAGCAGGCAGTGGGGCTGAGACAGTACAGAGGACAGACTGTTCAGGAATGCAGCCCACCCTTCCTCCACCTGCCCCTACCTTTCTAATCCAGCCTTCCTTCAGGTGCCTGGCACAGGGCCAGGGCCTGGGGAGGGGGTGGGACCTGGGCTTGTCCCTGGGGGTGTCTCTATATTTGTTTCATCTCTGTGTCTTCCCCGCTCTCGGTCTCTGTGTCCGTGTTTTTGTCTGTTCGTTTCTCTCTCTCTCTCTCTTCCCGTTTGACTCCCTCTGTTTTGCTCTCTTCATGTCTGCCTGCGTTCATGTCTGTCTCTGCCTCTCATCTCAGTCGGTCTGTTGCTGTCTGTGCATCTCTCCCTCTGTCTCAGGGTTTCTGCCTCGCTTTCTCCGTCAGCATCTCTGCCTCCGTGTCTCCCTGTCTCTGTCTTGCCCCCCAAGTCTCTTTCTCCCTCTTAATCTCACGGTCTCAGTCTCTCCATGGCCCTCCTTAACTGTCAACCTCTTTCTGTCTGGGAGCCTAGTGACTTGAAGGGATTTGGGGGCAGGGCCCCTGCTGTGAGGCACTGACTCGGCAGACAGCACCCCACCCCACCACCCTGTGTCAGGCTCTAGGATGGGGCCTCTTGATTAGGGTCTCTGTCTTTCTCTCCTGCTCCTGATTCTCCTCCCTTTATTTTGCTCTGGGGGTTCTCCCTCTGTCCCTCTGGAATGTCAGCTCTTTGGGGCAGGGGTTTTGTCTGTCCTGTTCACTTCTCTATCGCCAGCACCTAAAACAGTGCTCAACACAGAGTAACCAAAACAGCTGCCGTAGAGTCGATTCTGACTCATGGTGACCCATGTGTGCCAGAGTAGAACTGTGCTCCATTTTCAGTGGTCCATTTTTCAGAAGTAGATCGCCAGGTATTTCTTCGGAGGCATCTCTGGGTGGACAGGAACCACCAGACTTTCAGTTAGCAGTCCAATGCGTTAACCATTTGCATCACCCAGGGACTCCTCAGCACACAGTGGGTGCTTAATAAATATTTGTTGAATGAATGAATGAATAAACGAGTGAGTGCCCGACTCTCTTTGTCCCCGTTTCTGCCTCTGTTTCCCTGTCTCTCTGACTCCCTTTTCCCTCTCAGTCTCTCTCCCTGAATGCCTGTGACCGTTTTTCTTCTTGTCTGTCCCTGTCTCAGCTCTTGAGGCCTCTGTCTCTCTAATTGCCTTTTTACTTTTCTCTGGGGTCTCTCTGTCTGTCTTCACCTCGGTTCCTCTTTCCATTTCTGTCTCTTCTTAGAATCTCTTTGTCTTCCCTCTTTCTGGGCGTCTCTCTCTCCTTTTTTCTCAGTGTCTTTTTGTCCTCCTTTGTCTCACTCCCGGTCCATGTTTTTCAGGATCTCTCTCTGCTGTCTCTAGGTGTCTTGCTGTCTCTTTCTTTCTCTTCTCTTTTTCAGTATCTTTGTGTGTTCCTCCTGGCCATCTGTCCATTTTTCTTTCCCACAACCTCTGTGCCTCCATCTCTGCGTCTCCGTGGCCGGGACTTGAGGCGGACTCTGTGGTCGGCTTGTGGCGGGAACAGCGTGGGGATTAAGAAGCCAGCGCCCTAGGTGGGGACTGCTTATAAGCCTCCATCCCAGCCGGTCTCATATTCAGCAGAGCATGTTCCAGCTTCTGGCTGGCCCTTCTGGAAGATGCTGTTTAAGGGTAGGACCTCCCAGGCCACCTCTGCCTATGGCTTGAGGGGCGGACAGCTCCATTCTGCTTAAATCTGGCTCACTGCAGTTTAGGACGCCTGCCCGCCCCTGGAGAAAAGCTACCGTCAGCAGGATGTCAGTGTGTCACATCTGGCCCCAGGCTGGGAGGCCCCCACCCCAAAGGGGGGAATTGCAGGACAAAGGAATTGTCCTGTCCCGTGAGAGGGGTGAGGAGGGGAGTGAGTCTTACTCCTTCTGTGTCTCACTTCCGCGTTTATGACCTTTCCTCTCTTTCTCTGGTTATTTCTCTCTGTTTCTTTCCTGTCTGTCACTCCTGTTCTTTGCCTATCCATTTCTCTGTATCTCTCTGCCTTTCGCTGTCTCTGATGGTGTCTATCTCTGACTCGGGAGATTGAGAGGTGGTGGTGAGGAGCGCAGCGTCTGAAGCCAGATGATCTGCGTTCAGATCCCAGCTCCGCTCTTTTCTGATTGTGTGATCTCAGGCAAGTCACTTCCCCTCTCTGACTCTCAGTTTGCTCCTCCGTAAAAATGTGAAAATAATATCTCTTTAACTCATAGTACCAGTTGCAGTGCAGTGAATTCTGACTCGTAGCGATCTGATGTATGTCAGCGTAGAACTGAGCTCCATAGGGTTTTCAGTGGCTGATTTTTCGGAAGTAGATTGCCAGGCCTTTCTTCTGAGGCATCCTGGGAGCACTGGAACCTCCAACCTTTCAGTTAGCAGTGTGCGTGAGTTAACCGTTTGCTTCATAACCATTTGCTCCATCCAGGGACGCGGCTTTACCTCACAGGGAGAATTAAATGAGGCAGTGTGTGAAGCATTTAGAACAGCCTGTGGCACACGGTAAGCGCTAACCGAAACCCACCGCCATCGAGTCGATTCCAACTCAGAGTGACTGTAGGGTTTCCAAGGCTATAAATCTCTACGGAAGCCGACTGCCACATTTTTCTCCCGCGGAGCTGCTGCTGGTTTCGAACCACCGACCTTACCGTTAGCACTCAAGCGCTTTAACCACTGTGCCACCAGGGCTCCTTATGGTAAGCACTGTGTGTTAGTAATTGTTATTCCTCTGCCTGTCTCTAAGACTGTTCTGTCTCCGAGTCTCTTGCTTTCTCTCTGTTTATAATTCTGTCTTTGTACAGTACGCCGCATATCTCCCAGCCTCCCTCTGTTTGGTATCTCTCTCGACTGCCGTCTTTGTTTCTTTGTCTTCAGGCCTCACATCCTTTGCCTTCCAGCCTGTCTCCAGGAAACAAGATTCCTCCACCGCAGACGCCCCAAGGGGCAGGGTAGACTCCCCACAACTCTTCCCTCTTTGCAGCCAGACCGCCCCTCCCCCAGTCCTAAGGGGCCGTCCTTCTCCACGTAATTCAGCCAAGACAGGTTTGAATCTATTATAATTTATTAGGAAAGGATACAAAAAGCCCAGGAAAGGGCGCGTGATTGGGTAAGTGCTGTGAGTGAAATAGGGGCATACACCTCCTCCCCCATGTCTTTCTCTGCCTCTGGGGGCGCAGATCCCGTAAAGATGGGAGGGGTGGGGGATGGGCAAGTGTAAGGCAGAGGGTGCGGGGAAGAGAGTGTGACAGCGAGAGGGATGGGGGCAGACACTGGCACAAGAAGAGGGACGGAGCAACCCCTGGGGGCGAGCCTCGTCGACTGCGCGGGCGAATCTGGAGCGGCCGAGGCTGGGGCGTTCGCGCGCGCGCAGGCACTTCTGGAAGGGCCGCGGCAAATTGCCTAGACCAGAGCAGATCGGGGTCAGGTCGATGTCCTCGGGCGCCCCCAGCGGCTGCAGCGAGAAGCTCTGCAGGATGGCGGTGAGGTAGAGGAAGAGCTCCATGCGCCAGCCCAGCGACTCGCCAAGGCGCAGTCTGCGCCCTGCGGGGATGGGGAGGAGAGATGAGAGGAGATGGGGTGAGGGGACTCTCCCTTGCCAAATTTCAAGAGAAAACCTATGAGAATAATGGTTGGGGACGTCACAGAGCCGCCCATCTAAAGGTCTGGGGAAGATGCTTTAAGTAAATCGTGGAGCCGAATGACCTGACCGATACAAGTGCGACTGCTTGGGTTCGAATCCCAGCTCTGCCACTACTAGTTCTGTGCTCTCGGGCAAGCCATTTAACCCCTCTAGGCCTCGGTTTCTGGCTATTTAAAACGGGGATGATAACAGTGCCTCAGGAAGTCTGTGAAGAGTTGTTGTTGTTAGGTGCCGGCAAGTAGATTCCAACTCAGAGTGACCCTACAGGACAGAGTAGAACTGCCCCAAAGGGTTTTCTAGGTTGTAATTTTACGGGAGCAGATTGCCAGGTCTTTCCCCCGGGAGCCACTGATGGGTTCCAACCACCAACCTTCCAGTTAACAGCAGAGCGCTTAACCATTTTGCCATCAGGGCTCCCTGTGAAGGATAAATACAGTAAAGCAATGAGAATATAATGCTTATGTAGCTTTTACTATATGCTACACACTGCCCTGGAGGCGCAGTGGTTAAGAGTTATGGCTTCTAATCAAAAGGTGGGCAGTTCGAATCCACCAGCCGCTCTTTGGAAACTCTGTCCTGTAGAAATCATTTGATGGCAACGGGTACACACTGCTCTAAACAGTATACCAATATTAATGAATTTAATCCTCATAATGACTCCAAGAGGTAGGCTTCATTATTATCTCCCTTTTATAGATGTGGCACAGAGCGGTAAAGTAACATATCCAAGGTCACACAGCTAGGAGGTGGCAGAGCTGGGATGTAAATCCCAGGAGTCTGGCTACAGAGCCCAGTTCTTATCCGCTGCCCTTGTATTAGACAGCTCTTCTGAGAGGCGGCACCTGGCATACAGTATGGTGGTGGTGGTGGTTGTGAACTGTGGCGTCGACTCCGACTCACAGCGACCCTACAGGACAGAGTAGAACTGCTATAGCATTGTCAAGGGTGTAATCTTTGTGGGAGCAGATTGCTACGTCTTTTGTCCCGCGGATTCCAACCTTTCCGTTAGCAGCTGAGCGCTTAAACACTGCGCCACCAGGGCTCCTCTCAGTATGGTTAACCTGTTGCCGTCGAGTCGATTCTGACTCCCTATGGGACGGAGTAGAAATGCCCCACAGGGTTTCCAACGAGCGCGTGGCTGGTGGATTCCAACTGCCGATGTTTTGGTTAGCAGCCGGAGCTCGCCGGAGCTCTTCACCACTGAGCCACCAGGGCTCCCGCAATATGCTTAGTTACCTATTATTATCGCATCCCCCCCCCCCCAGCTACTTAGAAAACAGGGAAGATTTTTTTTTTTAAGCGAAGTAAACAGCAAAGCCAAGAAGTAAAACCATCTCAACTGCGCCACCTAGTGGAGAGACTGACAGTGACCACTTGCAAGTTAATTACTACCCTGTCTCTCCACCTCCCTCCACAGGATCTTATTCATTAGCTACCTACAGAACAAAGTCGGAAGGGGGGAAGAGGTGGGATGATGAAGTGCAGTGCGAGGGTTTTGGGAGCGGAATGTGGGTAGAAATATGGGAGCCAGACACTCTGACTCCCACCCCCACTGCCCTCACCAGCTGAGAAGGGCATAAAGGCAGGGCTGTTCTTGAAGGATTGATTTTCATCCAGAAAATGCTGGGGGTTGCACTTCTTCGGTGTTAGGAACCGGCTGGGATCGTAGTGGACGTTGTGAGGGAGGGTGATCACATCCGTGCCCTGAGTGTGGGGGAGGTGGGGATTAGTGGTGTAGAAGAGTTGTGGGGCAGGCTTGGAACTAGGGTTCCACTCCACAGAGCTGGAGTCCTGGGGACTTGATATGGGGGATGGGGCGTGGGACACGATGAGGGATCCGGGAAGTTTGCGTGGAAGTCTGGGTTCCGAGTGATGGGTGCTGGAAGCTGTGTTGCTGGGTCTGAGACAGGGGTGCAGGACACTCCCTCTTGTGGGGGAGGATTTCGGGTTTCTGGGAATGGAGAGAGGTTCTGAGAAGAGTGTCTGGGCACAGGGGATCCTCAGAATAAAGTCCCAGCCTCTGGAAATTTTGAAAACAGGTCCTAGGAAGGGGACCTATCATAGGGAAGGGGTCTGGGGTTTAGAACGGGGTCCAGCCCACTATAATCCAGGTTGGGATCATGGGATTCTGGATTCAAGGGTCTCGGATGCCTCTGTTTAGGGCCCGAGATGGCAGTTTGTAAAGCCCGGGGTGTCGATTACCAGCCGGGGCCCGGTATCCCCGTTGCTAGAAACGCGAATACAAGTTTGCTAGGGCCTGGGATGCCTCTTTCTAAGGTGCCAGATGTCTTTTGCCAGGTTCCTGGCGCACCTTGGGTAGAAGGAAGCCGCGGAAGGCCGTGTCCTGAATGACGCGGTGCGGCAAGTTCATGGGGATGGCATCCGCGAAGCGCTGCACCACGTGGATCACGGCATCAGTATAGGGCATGGCGGTGCGGGCCTCCAGCGACGGCAGCCGCGCGCGCCCCACCACGCTGTCGATCTCCTCCTGTACGCGGGCTGGGGGAGTAAGAAGCGTAGTCAAGGGCCTCAGCGCGACGCGACTGGGCCGGGAAGACGGTGTGTGTGTGTGTGTGTGTGTGTCTGTGTGTGTGTGCGCGTGTGTGTGCGTGCCAGTCAACAGCTCCCACCGGCAGGTGCCACTGCAGGGGCGCGTGAGGGTTAGCTGGAGACTTGGAAGGAGGGGGCGGGCTCGAATGCGTGGGTGGGGTGGGTTCAGAGACCGGATGAGGACGAATGGCTGGTTTGGGCACGGGTTCTGAGGGGCGGGGCTGTGTGGGCGGGGCTTTGGGGTTACCGGGAGGCCAGACTCCTGATGGAATTGTGGGCGGGGTTTAGAGGAGGGACCGACTGGGTGCCGGAGCAAGGAGGTGGGTTGTGCGGGAGAACGAGGTCAGAGGCGGGGCAGGCGGCATGGGCCCAGTCGGCTACGGGACAGTGTCCTAGAGGCTAGGGTTCGGGGATAGGCCCACAGGCGGTCCTTGGAGAGGTGGGGACGCGGACAGTGCTGTGTAGGCTGGTCAGATTGTATAGGAGGGGTCGGAACTGGGCTCCTGGGCAGGCCCTGCGGGCTCCGAGGCCGGACGCGTGCTGTGGGCGGAGTCAGAGGTGGGCCGTGAAGCAAGACCATGCGGAGGGGTGCGGGTCTGGGCAGCTGTGTGGATCGCGAGGGCCATGTGGGTGGGGTCGGCCTCCGTGTTGCGTAGTAGATTGTTGGTTTGGCTGTGCGACCCTGGCTTGTGGCCGTGTCTCATTGTCTGAGGGCGAAGCTTAGAGGCGGGAGGGGCGAGGCTTGAGCGTGTGGGCGGGGCCGGTCCAGGGGGCGGAGCTGTGTGAGCAGGTCTCCCGGCCAGGTTTAGGGTCGCGCACCTTGCACTTCTGGGTACTTCATGAGCACAAGGAACGCATGACGCAGAGTGGTGCCTACAGTCTCGGTGCCACCGAGTAGCAAGTTATGTGTGGTCATTAGCAGAGTATCCATGTACAAGTGGCTGAGCGGGTCCTGCTTCTGTGGGGGTGGAGGGATGGGGACGTGAGTCAGGGCCAGGAGATCCCCCTGGACACTCACCGTGGGCTCGGAGCCTGTGCGACCTGTTCCCTTGGACCTGCCAGTTCAGTCTCGCCTCTGTTTAACTTCCTTCCTTTGGGGAAGCTGGAGAGCGCGGAAGGGCAGGTTCGGGAAAATCTCAGCAGTGGGGCCTACAATTAGCATCTTGAACTGAGTCTTAACGACTTCTAATTAAGCTGTAAATTGGTAGTGGCTCCGAGAGGTACCCAGCTCCAGCCCTGCGGGGCCAGGTGTTCAGCTTCACCTCTTAGAGGTGGGAAGAGTCTACTAGGAAGACCATTTCAGAGCCTGCCCAACCCGGAATCCATGTTGATTTGAGGCAGGGGCAGCAGAAAGGCTTCAGGTCAGACCGAGGGGGGACTTCCTAGCATGGTGTACTTGAGCCATTTTGGTGAGGAAGCAATTGATGAAGTCCCGGGGAAAGCTGGGGTCGAGAGAGGCCTGGTGGTCGCGGACGCTGCTGGCAATGAGGTCCTTCATGTGCCCGAAATCCTGGAAGAGGCGTCGGTGTGGCCCAGGCACCCAGTCCAGGAGACTTGGGAAGAGGTTGTACATCTGGGGACGGGACAAGGTCGGGAGGGTCAGGAGGAACAGGCGAGGGGGTGGGGGGCAGTGGGGTCGGGGTGGATCAGGTAGGTAGGGATGGGGTCGGTCTTGAGGGGCAGCCACGTGCTGGCAAGGCTGTGAGAGGTAGAGACAGCGTTGAGTAGGAAAGGGTGTGGCTAGGCGGAGGTCATACGGAGGGGCGGGGTCAGGCAGACCCAATTCCAATCCCTTCTGCACCAGCTGTTTCCTCTTTGCCCCCCACCTTGTGGACGCCCTCCCGGCTCCCAGCCAGCGTCGGCCTCCAGACCTCTCCCCAAGGGCTGCTCATGATTTTGAAGTTGTCGTTGATGAGGCTAATAATGGTGAGCAGATGATCGTCATTGTAGTCGAAGCGGCTACCGAAGAGCAACGAGCAGATGATGCTGGACACTGAGCAGCTCAGCACAAACGTGGGGTCAAAAGACTTGCCTGAGGGTGAGGAGCGGAATGGGTCAAGGGCCATAGCTCGGGAGGTATAATGTGCCACACGACAGAGCCTGGGCAGCGACAGCCCTAGTTTGCACAACATCCAACCTAACGGTGCCAACATGCTTGCAGCACAGAACGCATCCACTTGGCCCCTCCAGCATGCAGCATCACAATACCCCCAAAATATTTGACAACGCAACAGGCTGCACAGGAGTCACAACACGCTGTAGCACTTGGGACAACAATACCCAGCAATGGAACACTCTGTTCTTGGCCACAATTGAACACAGCACCCAGCACAACACCCAGCGGTCATCAGGCATCACAGAACCCTTAACAGCCTATGGCAAGACAACACACCGCGAATACGACCACAGTACATGCAACACACACAATCCACAAAAATCTAACAGCCAGCCCAGGAACATCCCAAAATAGGGTAACACAATACGTAACACACGGGTACATATTACCAGCCTATAGCCGTATCATCCTGCAACACAGAACACAACAATAATGCACAGCAACCCAGAAGACAGCACAGAACAAGCCGTCTGTGACATCGCAACACATACAACCATGCAAAGCAGCAGAACAGACGACATACTAACGATATATAGCAATGCAACAACGTTGGCAGCAAAGCAGACAGCACACATGCAGTGCCTGACAACACTGCAATGTCACCCACCAATAACCCAGAGCGACGCAGCGCCTAATGCTCAAGGATCCAGCAATTGAAAAGACCACGGAAGACAACACCAAAGCAACCTATTTCAACACATCAGCCCAGACACAGTAGTACAGCCCAGAAAACTGGCTCTGCAGTTAGAAAGACATAGTCTGAATACTGACTTAGACTCTTTGTCTCCATGTGACCTGGGCCAACTGACTTCCCTTCTCTAATAGTTTTCTTCTCTGTAAAATGGGCTTGATGACAGTCCTTGCCTCATGGGGCTGTTACAAGGAGTCAGTGAGTGTGTGGCTGAGACGTGCTTCGCTAAAGGCCCGCTGTGAGCCTGTTACAAACCAGGGTGATATGGTAGGTTGAGTAATCCCCTCCTCCCCCCAAAAATATGTCCATGTCCTAGTCCCCAGAACTTGTGAATATTTTACCTTACATGGTACAAGAGACTTTGCAGATGTGATTAAGTTAAAGATTTTGAGATGGGGAGATAATCCTGGATTAACTGGGTAGGCCCAATATAATCACGAGGGTTCTTAAAAGAGGGAGGCTGGAGGGCCAGAGTGAGAAAAGGCAATGTGATGATGGAAGCAGAGAGAGAGAAGGAGAGAGATCGGAGGATGCTGTGTTGCTTCCGGCTTTCAAGATGGAAGATGGAGCTACAAGCCAAGGAATGCAGGTGGCCTCTAGAAGCTAGAAAAGACAAAGAAACACATTCTCCCCCAGACCCTCCAGAAGGAACACAGCCCTTCTGACTCATTTTAAACTAAGTTTGTGGTAATTTGTTACAGTGGCCACAGGAAGCTAATACAGACAGTTATTATTTCATGTCATTTAGTCACGTCGTTTAATCCCTGCAGCATCGCCTGTACACTTTTTCTTGCCCAAAGCCAGCAAGATTTGGAGAGGAGGGTAGGGGGCTGTGAACTGCTCTGTGTCTCACTTTCCCCTCCTGTAAAGTGGGGCTTATAACATGATCTACTTCTTAGGTTTGGGTGAAGAATATACACAAAGGAGATACACAAAGCTCTTGGAGCAGTGGTAGGGACCATGTCAGTGTTGGGTGTTTTTATTCACTTATTTTCCACAGGGCAGCAGCTTTACCTGGGTTTGTATACCTGCTCTGCCACTTGCTGACTGTGTGACCTTGGGCACATGACTTAACCTTTCTGGGCCTCAGCTTCCTCACCTGTCATAGTTCCCACTTCCTGGGTTGCTGGGAGGGTGAAGTGAATTAACAAAAGTGAAGGGTTTAATATAGTGCCTGGTATACAGCAAGTGCTTAAACTGGTTAAAACTCATTGCTGTGGAGTCTATTCTGACTCATAGCAACCCTGTAGGACAGAGTAGAACTGCCTCATAGGGGTTCCCAGGCGCGTCTGGTGGATTCTAACTGCTGACCTTTTGGTTAACAACAGTAGCACTTAACCGCTGCACCACCAGGGCTCCAGCAAGTGCTTAATAAATGGACATTAGCGTGTTGAGTGTTTGGTGTCAGTAGATGTGGGTCTACATTCTTGCTCCTCCTCCATTTACTAGCTGTGTTACTTCAGTCCAGTTATTTAACCTCTTGGTGCCTCCATTTCTTCATCTGCAAAATGAATTGTTCCGAGGCTTAACGGGCTTATGCATGAAAATGTGCTTAGCACAGAGCCCGGCATGTGGTGAGCTCTCAAGAGCATTGTTATCATCATCGTTCCCCACAATTACCCAAGTTGTTCTCAAACTACCGCACAGTGATAAGTGATAGGGTGACCACAGAGCCCCATCACATCCTGCTGCCAAACCTCAAGGAAACACAGCACCACAAACCGATCCACCTCCAGGGGGCGCCGTTTCCCTCGCGGGCTGAGTGAAGAGCCTCTAGGGGCTGTGAGTACACACCCGCAGCCCTGATAGTTAACTAGGATGGACATAGTTAACTAGGATGGACATGAACTAGGGGTAAGGATGCACTCAGGGACCCCGACCTTCAGTTTTCCGAAGCTCCGCCAGCAGGAAGTTGCCTTCCTCCTGGATCCGCTCCGCGATGCTTCTCTTCCCCATCCCGAAGTTCCACAGAATCTTGCCAGGGAAGCTCCTCAGGACCTTCCACCGGTTCCCACTGGAGAAGATTATGCCTGGTGAGGAGAAGTGCGGGGGTGAGGTGGGGGGGGGGGGACGCTCAACTGACAACCGGTCCCCAACCACTGTCCTCTGAGTCCCCTTCCTGGTTCTTGCTGGGAGAGAGACTGACAGGTAGGGATTGGGTTGAAGTGGATAGAGGGGGCTGGGGCCAGAAAATTTGGCCAGTTGATTGAGATGGAAAGTTGGTGATGGGGTTGGGATGGAAATAGGGACTGGAATGAGAATGGGGTTGCAGATAAATGGAGATGGGGATTGGTATGGAAGGGTAATTCAAGATGGTGATGGGGAAGGTGGGACGGACTTTGGTCCTAGACTAGGACTGCCTAGCTTCGTTCCATTTGGTGTTCTCAGTGAGATTAGTGGCCCTAAGTGGCCCCACATTTGGGAGGATAGTCTCCCACCCTCATCCCCTTCCTCACTGTGGAAAAGGTTGCGGGTGGGGAGCAGGCTTACCATTGCCCTTAGTGAAGTTGAAAAAGATGGGGTAGTAGCCATGGCCACTAAACGCCCTCGTCCCCCTGGTCCACGAGTGCCTCCTTCATGCTTGGTACCCACTGAGAACCACCATGTGCCTGGGCCGCAGGTGCACTGTGTATGCTGAGTCGTACTCCTTGCTCAGCTGGGGGTAAGAAAACAGGTCACAGGGGGGCCTGGGGCCATGGGACCCCCCCTTGCTCACGCCATCACCCAAGCCTAGGACCCTTCACCTTGGTGAGGGAGGTCAGCATGTCTTGGGAGTGAAGCTGCAGCAGGTTTCCCAGCAGAGGGAGGGGTTTGGGTCCTGGGGGAAGCCGGCCCTTGCCCCTTGAGGTGAGGGTCAGGAGCAGGCTGGTGAGAGCCAGGAGCAGGAGCAAGATGGCTGTGATTACACTGTCCATGGTGAAGGCAGTGGCCAGCATCTGGAGGGCAAAGAGGGAGAGGGCAGGGCTGGGAGGGGGCAAGGATCCCTTTACTCCTCATCTCCATCGCACCTATCACCTGCGTTCTCCAGGCCCCAAAAATGAGGCGGATGGAGAGAAGAAAGGACGTAGAAAGAGGTAGAGACAGGGAGAGGTCAGAGGATAGGGGAGGAGGGAGGGAAGAAGAAAAAGAGAGAATGAGAAGGAGCAGAAGTTAGAAAACAGAAATAGAGACAGCCACAATACAGAGGCACAGAAAAAGAGAGACAGAGACAGATGGAGAGAGATGTAAAGAGATCGAGGGAGACTGATAGAGAGACCAGAGGGAAGAAGATAGAGCTATAGAGAGACAGACTAAAAGAGACATACATAGATAATGGAGGATACAGAAAGAGTGAGATATTTGTATAGCTATAGATGTCTGTATCTGTATCTGTCTGTCTGTCTCTCTGTCATGTATCTGTCAAGAGACTGACTCTCACACAAGACAGTAATAGAGATAGAGACACACAGGGACAGAGATAGACTAATCAAAACACAGAGGCAGGAGAGAGGCAGATGGAGAGAGGTACATACTTACTGAGAGAGATAGAGGTGGACAGAAAGAGAGAGAGAGAGACAGAGTTAAACATAGAAACTGAGGGAGGAGAGACAGAGATAGATTAACAGAGACAGAAAAAGAGAGATACACGGAGACAGAGAGACAGATAGGCAGAGAACGTTATGTAGTGACAGGGACCAAGAGAGACTGAGACAGAGAGGAGGCAGAAGCAGAAACAGTGACCAAAAAAAATTAAGTGTTTGGAACCAAGGGGCCACGATCCAGAGAGATGTGCCACCCTCTGTGAGAAGTGCTGGTACAGACCCTCGGTGCCCTGAAAATACTTGTCAAATGAATGAACAGAGCCCCAGAGAGACCTCCAGAAAGAGGGACCCAGAGACCCGACAACCTCAGCAGAGATGGCAAAGGCGATTACAAGCCAGTCTTAGAGAGATGGAGCCAGCGACCCCCTCTCTTGAGACTGCCCCTGCTCCTCTTGACCCTCAGCCCAGCCCTTTAAGTGCCGAGCTGCAAGGGCAGAGGAGGTGTGCTGGAGGGGACGCTGCGGTCAGGTCTGCTCCAGATGTACCCTGCAGCTCTGGAAGTGCCTTTACTGCAGGGACTGCTCTTAAATTGACTGTCTCCACCCTCACCCCCCTCATTTGCTCTCCCAGTGGACTTTAATCCCTTCCTACCTCCCTGCTATTTTTTGATTACAACCTTAGGGCTCGCATCCAGCTGGAGTGGAGCCTTGGGTGGGGGCCGAACCTAGGGGGCCCTCCTTCACCTTCCTTGAGCAGGCAGACTTCCACTGTCCTCACTGTGGACAGGGGTGGTTGTTTGCCCTGGAATGGGGCAAAGGCTGTGACTCTTTTTTTTTTTTTTTAATTGTACTTTAGGTGAAGGTTTACAGAACAAATAGTTTTTCATGGAACAGTCAGTACACATATTGTTTTATGACATTGGTTAAGAACCCTACTACATGTCAACACTGTCCTTTCTCAGCCTTGGGTTCCCAGTCACCAGCTTTCCTGTCCTCTTCTGCCTTCTAGTCCTTGTCCCTGGACTGCTGTGCCTCATTAGTCCCATTTTGTTTTATGGGGCTGTCCAATCCCCGGCTGAACGGTGAACTTGGGGAGTGGCTTCACCACTGAGCTAAAAGGGTGTCCAGGGGCCATACTCTTGAGGTTTCTCTGGTCTCTGTCAGGCCAGTAAATCTCGTCTTTTTTTGTGAGTTAGAATTATGTTCTACATCCTTCTCCAGCTCTGTCCAGAACCCTCTGTAGTGATCCTGGTCAGAGTAGTCAGTGGTGGTAGCCCAGACACCATCTAGCTGTACTTGACTCAGTCTGGTGGAGGCCGTGGTAGCTGTGGTCCATGAGTCCTTTGGACTAATCTTTTCCTTGTATCTTGTTCTCTTCATTCTCCCTTGCTCCCGAAGGGGTGAGACCAGTGGACTATCTTAGATGGCTGCTCACAGGCTTTTAAGACCCCAGATGCTACTCAGCAAGGTAGAGAATGTAGAACATTGTCTTTATAAAGT